GGTCTCTTTAAATCCAACTTGGCTGAACATCTGACCACTGCAACATCACAAATTCAAACATCACTAAGCAAATCTTTTCCCTATAAATTACTACAATTGAAACTCTCACACTCTCCATGGCTAAACACAACAAACCCTTTAACGTACTCTGCACATTCACTTTTGTACGCTGGTCTACACACTGCAGCAATGAAAAGATTCAATGTCACTTTGCCTTTTCATTTAAAAACACAAACAATGCCCTCGTGGTCACTAAAATACATTGGCCACACAATTGACTCCACTTCATACCGTGATGTTTTTACATACACGTGGTCAATTAGTGTGCCACTCTCTGTTGTGGGTTCTCTCACAACTTGCACGTAGCCTTTATCTGCTACAAATGACCAGATTGATGATGACTTCAAAAGGTCATCATTAAAATCTCCCATGATGACAATCGTGTTACTTTGTGGAGCTAGCCAATCCAGTAACTTGCCAAGATGCTCTTTAAACAAAGACATGGGATAGAATGGTGATCTATAAATGACCGCTACCAGAATGTCGTAACTAGTGTAGTTACAGATTGCGCATTCCAAATTGATCTGAGCTGCTGGGATGACATTATATGCCATATTGTCTGTAGTGTAAATACCGACCCCACCATGTTGTTGGCCCTGCAATGCAACGAGTGCAGGGTGCGTGCTGCAGTACGATAAACATCGAGGACTGTTGTGGAAACTGTAACCATCGATGTGTATCGCATCCAATGATGAGTCAGAAGCCAGCCATGTTTCTGTCACAGCAATACAGTTAAACTGTAAATGCCGTGTGCACAATGCCAAATCCCTCACATGAGCAGTCAGATTCTGCACATTCATCAAAAACACACTGAAACATGCTGCACTTAGTTCCTGGATTCTGCCCTCATTCACAAATGCTGGCATACGCTGAAGGGCGTCCTTCACATCATCCTTACAGTAAATTCGTTTCTCATCAAAATCTTGAATTATTAGTCCGGCCAAACTTCTAACACGGCTTAAAGCCACGTAGGCCTGTCCTGCTGTAAAAATTTTTTTCAGACACACCACGGCACAATCAACGGTAATGCCTTGCACCTTATGGACTGTACAAGCCCAGGCAAGTTTCAAAGGAAATTGACGGCGCATTCCACCTTTTCTGGTAGCCCGTTCTTCCTCNGTGCAGCCCTGAAATTTATATAATAAATAATATTGTAAGGTCTAAAACCCAATATTCAAATATTTAGGTTAATCAATACACATATTTAATTTAAAATGACAAAACTTTGTATAATATGTTTTAGAATTTGTCCTCAAGATAAAAATCCTTAATATTTGTCTAAATTTACAACAATTTGTCCAAAATGATTCAAAATATGTCCAAAATGAAAACACTTGTCCACAATGTCAAAAACATGTCCAAAATGTCACAATGGGTTCAAAACGAGTTACAATTGTCCAGAGTGACTAGAAATGTCAAATTACACAATTTGCCAAAATTACCAGACCTTTTTTCCCCCCATATGCCTCATTGTCACACTAACACATCGTCCAAAATCCCTTTGAATATTTACGTAATGACATAAACATGTGCAAAATGATTAACAATTAATCCAAACTGAAGGATATTTCAAAATTAGATAAAAGTGTCTGAAGGGGCTCAGAATTTGTCCAAACCAGAGTCCAGCAGGACCAACAGCCTGCTGCTTGTGTCGAGTGTCTGTTGGTTTTAGGGTCATGGAAGGAAACCTCCTCCGATCATTCACTAACTGAAAACCAGAACTGCATGAGGCGCACAAGACACTTCAGGTGGAGCTTCAGAAACTCCAGGAGCTGAGGAAGAAACTGGAGGAGGAGAATAACAAACTATCTCTGACGTTCAGTCACACTGAGCAGGAGCTGTGGAGGACATCTGCAGAAGTCCAGGAGAGGAATCAGAGAGGAGGCGGAGGAGACCGCCTACAGACGAGAAAAATACCAAAGAACATGACGTTTTAGTGAATTGTAATTACTAACATTATCAAACATCTGTTTGTATCATTTCAGCCTCAACAGAAGCCTTATCAGAGTGATTAAAACGTGTCTATAAAAATGAGAAGTTTATCTCTTAGTGCTAACTGGATTAGTCTAAGAACAATATTAGAGTCTTGATTCTAACATGTTTTTTTTTTTGTTTTTTTTAATGTCAGTTTGTTTATTATACTAAATGATAAAGTCTGGGCTTGGGTCAGTGTAAAATTGTCACCTCCAATGACTACCTTTTATTTATTTATTGTTGCAACTGATTTTATTTATGATCTTGCACTGATGGACTTTTAAGTTTTGTATTGTTTGATGTAGTGTGTTCATTATTCTGTGGCTGATCTCTTTTTCTGTACCTGCCCAGGGACAACAGATGCGAGTGGTTAGCTACCTGTGGTGCAGGTACTTTTACCGGGCCCTGTCAATATAAAACAAACAAACAAACAAAACAAAAAAACACGCGACTACAGTGAATATCAGTAATTCATTGGTAATTAGTTAGTAATTAACTTGAATTATATATTATTTTGTCAAATAAAAGCAGCATTTGCATAAGACGAAAAAGCAAAAAACATTACCAAAAAAAACTCTAAAAGAAAATTTAATTTAGCGTAGTTATATTTGGAAGGAATAATAGAGTCCTGAATGTAGCACGTCATTAAGGTGGAGCGTCTCCCGCTGCTAAGCAACTAGCTGGCTAGTCCAACTACTGTGTCGATGGAACGGTGCAGTATCGGCTTCTCTGATTGGTCGCTGTTCAGGCACCGGCGAATCAGCGCTGAGATTATTAAAACTTGGAAATTGATGTTTCACATTCGGGTTTGAAAAGATGTCGCTGAATCGGGGTATCGGTAGTGCCGAGGTAACGTTTGTAAAATGACAGCATTACTTTTATTATGTACCCGCTAACTGGCAGCACTGCCTTTTCTTTAATTTCATGCAACTTACTTCGACTATAGTGTGGACAAAGAAAAACTAATGTTGCTATCCCAGCATGCTAGCAAGTTAGCTGTGAAGTGTTAAGTTACCATGTCAACAGCAGTGCACCTGTGAGGATGATAACGTTAGCTTGGTTATGTACTCTGTGTAAAAGTAACGCCTGAGCCATTGCTTTAGGGTTTACGGGTTTGACTGTTGTTTCCTCCCTGCAGTACATGAAGAAAAAGATACCGACAAACGCGAAGTATGAACACGTCAAAACTAAGCTGGACACAGGTATCTTTGCCACATACAAATACACAATAAGCATTTTTCATATCTCTGATGCTTATTATCACTGAAACAGTTAAAATGTTGTTGTTGTTTTTTCGGCCTCCTCTTCATACTTGTTATTGTCATGTCTTCTTTAATAGGATGCAGTCTTACAAAGTTGTTGGAGAAACAGGAGGAGGATAAAAAATGTGAGTAAGCTCAGAAAATCATTTACTGTAAAAATCTGAGTGCTGTTTAAATGTTCTTATGACTGTGCATTCTTTCACCTGCTCTGTGTCCTACATTATTACCAATCCAGTTGACATTTCTTTTGTCACAATTATTTGGTTACAAGAAACGTGAAAGTTTTACAAAGACACAGCTTTGCTTTTACATAAGGTTCTGTATATTTGCACGCTTTGACCGTTTCATTCAGATGAAAGTAGTTGCAGATGTGTGTGTAAACTGGGTGAAACAGCTCTACCATTTAGCAACTGACAAACAATTATATTTTGTGTCATGACAAGGAATTGTACATTTATTTTTCTTCTAAGCAAGTTTATATGCACAATTGGGTTGTTTTAGTTTTTGCTTTGCTTTTGTATTTTGTCATATATTTGTGGCATATGACCAAAGCAAAAACTCATTGAATTGCTGTGTCTAACATTCAGATTTAAATTTTTTGGTGCCTATCAGGCACAATAGAATTCTTTAGAGATCCTTAGAATAGCTTCAGTGTTCAGTGATAAATAGACTTTCTATCCCTCAGACTCCTGGGTTGCTGACCTACACTGTCGGACCTATGACACTCGCTCCGTCCACTGGAAACTTACACTTTCTATTCTGTGCAAGTGTGAAGAGGTGGATCAAATAGCCCACTTTGAAACTCACACGATCGAATCCCAGCCAAATATCCCTTTAAATGGTCTTTTCGTATAGTAAAGTGCATGATAGTTATTGTAGTTTTTATGTGTATTATTATCTGCACATTTAAGGTAAGATTTCCTAGCTTGGCACATAATTTTCCCCAGGATCATAGGGTTTTCTCTTCCCTGCCTACCTCTGTATTTTAGAGGTAAATCAAAGAACTTCTAACCCAACCTTCTGATTTCTCAGGGACAAATGACACGGATTCTTTTGGATTGTACTGCTGTCCACAATTATTCTTCTGTGGGACCCAGACTGTGGGGACAAGCTGGCAAGGTTCCAGCAGGGATCTTTGTTAGAGTGTGAGATACTGTGTTACACTGATGACAATACCAGCATCAGGAGCTCTGATACAAACAGAGCAGGTCATCTGATTTGTGTGTAGGGGTGGCAGCTTTGGCTAGAGGGTAGAATGGGAACAGACAGGGCAAAGTGGCAGTTTAATGAATCAGGGAAGAGCGCTACCTGCTCGACCCAGGAAAGTTGTGTGTTTTTTTTGTAATTTTCCCAGTCTGTCATCAGGACTGTAAAGTTCCCTGTTGCTACATCATTTCTTAGATTGATGTGTTTCTTTTCTTCTTTTTTTCAAGATTGCAGGTACCGAAAAGATGATATCTTCAAACGGTTAAAAGTGACGACGTTTGCACAATTGGTAAGTAACAGTTTGATATCTTTGTAGTAACGTAATGTTTTGCAGCATTTATGTTGTACTCAATTGAATCTCCACCCAGAAACTATTTTTGGTCTCTGTTGTGAAGGATGTTGATGTTGAGAAAACTTGATACCTATACAGTATTCAAGAATTGATAAACTAATTGTGTGATTAGCTTTACACAGATGGCTCTGAATCCATTTAATTGTTTTTTCTTCATTTTACAGACTCCAAAATTTCTGTTCTTTCTATGTTCTTTTTTTGCACTTTTACTTTTGATTTGTTGCAGTTTTTTTGTTATTCCTTGATTTCTGAACTTGTTTTTCTCACCAGATACTTCAGGTATCCTCTGTTTCCGAACTGAATGAGAGTAATGGCGAACCACATGGTCCAGAAGGTAACATAGCCGGCAAGATTACTCGTTGGCTTAGCTCGGCTCACTAATGGTACATGTGCAGGGTATGCTGTAATATCTGGTATTGTTTTTGCAGATGGTCTGTCTGTGGTGTCTGATACGGACCTGGAGTGTCTGTCTGATCGCACGCCCAGCTCCCCACAGATGTCTCCCCTCTCAGATCATCATGAAGCAGGAGACAAGGAAATCTCTTCTGCCAGGTCAACACTTCTGAGGTACTGTAGCGCACAGTACTCTGTAAAGCCTCACTGAATGCTACCACACTGTACACACACATCTTTCACCATTTTCTGTCATTTTATATACCAGACAAGTAGTGTATTAATGCAAAGAAACAGTGAAAATAATCATTAATTGCAGCCCTAGAGCAGAGTAGTGCCTGACAGCTGCTGCATTGGTGACTTCTCCATCCAATTCAGAAGTTTGTGACCACAGTAGCAGATAGGTTAGATATATAAATTATTCAGTACTGGGCAACTGTTGAATAGTTAGCTCACCCAGATTACGTGGTTTTATTTCCTCAAGTTCTGCGAAATGTTGTAGAGAAATATCTGCATGGTGAGAAAATGTAGATATAAACTGTTAATGTCTGCACAGTGTTGCATTTTGTTTCATCAACACCCTCGATGACATCCAATCACTGCCTTAACAACAAGCACACCTGTAACCCTGCACCCACTGTACAGTATCTGTGTCCCAACATGCTGTACATCCACTTTTTTTTAATCCCTTAAGGCATCTGTGAGTCCTCCAAACTCACCCTCCTGTGTACTGCACAAAAACCTCAGTCGATCTGTTATTAGCGTCCCTTGCTCTCTCACCTGCATCCTCTCTCTCTCCAGCTTAAATAGGAACCTCATGAGTGTAACTCTATCTCTGAGCCTTTGTAATGGCAGGTCAGTTTCACCTTGTGGGGAGGGCAGATAGAGACAGAAAGTAGGGCAGCGCTGGGGTAAACCACCACAAGGGGAGAGTGGTGTGTTTCTGTTGCGTTGTTTGATTCACTCCCACGCTCACATTTGCTGCAGTGAGTCCTGATGAACCGTTCCCTGCTTTATGAAGCAAAATCCCTTCTTTAGTGTGCTGAATCATCAGTGACACAAGTAAAATAAGCAGCCGATGTAGAGGTGGTGCCTCTACTGTCTTTGCCAGGTGTCTCATCAGCTGGCAGGCTTCTTTTAAAATCATAAATTGGTAGAAATCAAGTGATCTAAATCAGCACATATGAATGACAAGACTGCATTATCACACACACTTATGTAACTTTAAAGCAGCAGCACTGGTTTTTAAAACTACAGTATATCAATAGTTAATCTCACTAATAAGTGACCTTTAGTTTGTGGAAACTTGCCACATAACACAGAGCAGTTTTCAGAATTTGGTGACAATTTCAGTTTTTCAATTTTGATTTCTAAGGATAACAACAAACCTTCATCAGTTATCTTCTCATGCTGGATAAGTACACTGCTCAAAAAATAAAAGGGAACACTTAAACAACACAATGTAGCTCCAAGTCAGTCACACTTCTGTGAAATCAGCCTGTCCAGTTAGGAAGCAACACTGACTGTGAATCAATTTCACCTGCTGTTGTGCAAATGGAACAGACAACAGGTGGAAATGAGAGTCAAGTAGCAAGATGACCCCTGTAAAGGAGTGGTTCTGCAGATGGTGACAACAGACCATGTCTCTGTTCTCATCCTTTCTGGCTGATGTTTTGGTCACTTTTGCATTTTGTCAGTGCTCTCACCCCTCGAGGTAGCATGAGGCGTGTCTACAACCCACAGAAGTTGCTCAGGTAGTGCAGATCATCCATGATGGCACATCAATGCGAGCTGTGGCAAGAAGGTTTGCCGTGTCTCTCAGCACAGTGTCCAGAGCCTGGAGGAGACACCAGGAGACAGGCCAGTACACCAGGAGATGTGGAGGGGGCCGTAGGAGGGCAACAACCCAGCAGCAGGACGCTACCTCCTCCTTTGTGCAGGAGAACCAGGAGGAGCACTGCCAGAGCCCTGCAGAATGACCTCTAGCAGGCCACTAATATGCATGTTTCTGCTCAAACTGTCAGAAACAGACTCCATGAGGGTGGTATGAGGGCCCGATGTCCACCAGTGGGGCTTGTGCTTACAGCCCAACACTGTGCAGAGCGATTGGCATTTGGCCAGAGAACACCAAGACTGGCAGATTGGCCATTGGCGCCCTGTGCTCTTCACGAATGAGAACAGGTTCACACTGAGCACATGTGACAGAGTCTGGAGACGCAGTGGAGAACATTCTGCTGCCTGCAACATCTTCCAGTATGACCGGTTTGGCGGTGGATCAGTAATGGTGTGGGGAGGCATTTCTTTGTGCTAGCCAGAGGTACCCTGACTGCCATTAGGTACTGGGATAAGACCCTCAGACCCATTGTGAGACCACATACTGGTGCAGTGGGCCCTGGGTTCCTTCTGATGCATGACAATCGTTTAATTATCAATATGACAAGATCAAGACAAACAAGAACTTCCCATGCAAGTTAGTGCAGGCTCCAAATACAGTGCAATCATACAAATATGTGTTCGCTTTGTTTTTATTCAACATTACAACTTGAAGGACTAGTCAACTGATAGAAAAACAGAGCTGTATATAGCAGAGCGAATGTAAACAAGAGCACATACAACTAAATAGCACCAACTACCCACTGACTCTTCACAGTGTTATCAGCGGTGTGGGAGAGCTGAATGTCGACAGGAACAATCAGAAGATGGAAAACGAGCTGGCGTCCACCCCTGAGCCTGCTGACAGGCCCTACCCCGACTGCCCCTACCTGCTGCTGGACGTGCGGGACCGTGAGCAGTACGACAGCTGCCACATCATCGGAGGTGGGTGGCGGGAACGTGAAGCTGGTGCATTGAACTTGTTTTTATGCTGAAAATTTCCATTTATGTTTGAATAATCTCTCTTTTCTACAGCGCACAGTTTTCCAGTTGCCATGTTGACTCGAACAATGAACCCGTACACCAAAGAAGTGCTGGAATACGTATCCTTTGACACATGCAACACTGATTAACCACATGAAAGCATTTTTATTAACTCTGTTGACTCGGTGGACCTTAACCCATAAACTGTGTAGAAAAATGCAGCAGGGAAAATCATCATTGTTTATGATGAGGATGAGAGAATAGCCAGCCAGGCAGCTAACACCATGTGCCAACGGGGATTTGAGAATGTGTTTATGCTCTGTGGAGGTAAGATCTTATGTCACGGAGTTCCATCCATCCATTATCTGTACACCGCCTAATCCTCACTAGGGTCACGGGGGGCGGGGGGCTGGAGCCTATCCCAGCTGATTTAGGGAGAAGGCAGGGGACACCCTGGACAGGTCACCAGTCTATCACAGGGCTACACTTAGAGACAGACAACCCAACACACTTACATTCACACCTACGGACAATTTAGAATCACCAATTAACCTCAACATGTTTTTAAACTTGTGGGAGGAAGCTGGAGAACCTGGAGAGAACCCACGCTGCACGGGGAGAACATGCAAACTCCGCGCAGATACCGTGAACCGGTGACGTTCTAGCTGTGAGGCAACAGTGCTATCCACTGTTTCACCCTGCAGCCCCATGTTTCATCATGAAATGTCAAAATACCACAACAGCAACTATATAGAACCTACAATTAAACCAACTTTTTTAACTGCATTTACTCTAGTTTTAGAATCTTAAAGTCATTTCTTCTGCACCACAATCACCCTCACTCAGAAATATTCACGTCATCTCCAACATGATGGGATAGGAGTGTTCCATCAGTACAACTGATCACAACCCGACTAATCAAAGTTCTTTGGTCAGTGTCTTGTGTTAATAAAGCTTCAGACATTATTTTATTTAAACAGTGATTAGGCTAAATTTTTCAAAACAAATTTTATTCTGAACTGAAGATGAATCCACAGTGTCGCTGTCTGGCCTAACATTGATGACTGGTTGATCATAAAAGTGGTCATGTTGGAAGTAGTCCCAGGGTACTGATCTAATATCGGTTTCATGTTTCCTAAAGACATAAACTTTGCAAATGAATGCCTTCTGATATGTGTTTTGATATTGATTGAAACGCTGTGTCAGACCCTCCCTCAGGCATCAGGGGTGGCGTCAAAGAGACAGTTTGTTGAAGAAAACCTGTTAGCGAGCAGATCAGGTTCACGAAGGCTAGGTTAGGTTCACAGACAGTTGCCATGGTAGCCAGTTTTATTAATAATGAAATCCCTCTTTATCCAGACAGGTTGTGTCTTCTGTATTAACTCACAAATTAAGTATTTTGTGTCTATATATTCAATGATAAAAGTGTCTTTTTTAATTTAAACTGTCAGTTGGTGGTTTTGTAACATTTACATTAGAAGTTTTTAGGCATTAAACAGAGGTTTGTAAAATCAGGAGGAAACAGGACCAAAACTGCTGCTGCAGAACAGAGTTACACTGAAGCTCAATGTATTTCAAACAGTCAAATGTTGCATTGTGCATTTCACCAAACCGTTGCCTCCTTCTGTCCTCCTCTGCCAGGTCTTAAGATAATCGCTCATAAATTTCCGAGTGGAATGACGACGGGCTCCTTTCCGGCCTCCTGCCTGCCCAGCACCACATCAGCTAAAGGGAAGAAAAGCTCTGCGGCACAACATCCAGCAGAGAAGAGGTGGCGGTTTACTTCAGATGAGCTGGCCAAGATCCAGGAGCAGATGGAGGAAATACTCATCCCCAGTAACTCCAGCAGTAAGAGCACACTGTTTGAAACTGAAAAACCGTCTGTCCTGTTTATAACTACAGCAGTCGGTAACACATTATTTACCACTGACAAGAATAATTTGTCCTGGCCAGAAGTATGTAATTTGGTATCAAATATGGGAAAATATGCACAAACAAATTAGGCAGAGTGCTGGTGTTACTGTTTTAAAGTAATTGAAAATCCGTTTTTATTGTTGATGGTTGTTTTAAACTTACAGATGTTACAGCTGTTCAGATACAACGATGTTTACTTCTCCCATTTGTTAACCCTGCTCCCTTTGTTTAAGTTGTATAGCGTGTCTTTACTATGAGATTGTAGGAAAAATGTGAGCTGAAAAATAGAGTGTTACGGATCACTATTTTTAGTGCAGAGTCTGAGCAGTTCTGAGTGGTCTGTACTCCCTGATTCAAATTCCACATTTTTGCACCTTGACATTCTGTTATGTTGCTGTTTGAAGGAGTGAATCAAAATTTAAGAGCATATACTTGACTCTCTGCACTTATATGTTATTTATGCGCTGTGTGTTTTATTGCAGGTCGCATGACCAGCCGCATGTCAACCAGCAGCTCTCAGTCTAAAGCGTCCAGTCGTCAGAGTTCCTCGGCAGCTCGGAGAGACGGCGCCAGGGTTCAGAGCAGCAGGGCCTGGAAATAGCCTCAACCCTCCTTCAACCACACAAATGCACACAAATATACCTCCAGCATAAGGTCCATTTGTTTCAGGTGACTTCCGTCCGGCTCCTTTGTGTAAAGAAAACACAACTGCAGTCTGCAAAACACATCCAAAGGTGGACAAGAAAGACCAGAACTACTTTGTTGTAGTTTAACTACTATTTACTCGTTGGTGTTTCTCACCATCTTTTACCCTCAGAATGTCCTCTGATTGTTTAAAGTGGCTTCTCAAAATTCGTTTTTCAGTTCTGGAAATCGTACACACCTTGGGACAGTGATTAGCACGACAACAACTACCTGTATATTTAAACCTTAATTAAGACCTGACATCTGGACAACAGTGTGAAAAGTCCTGAAGAAAAAAACATTCACTTATGGAGCTTTATGTCACAAAGAAGTATTTTCCTCTTGCTGTCCTTTTTATCGTCTTGACCAGTGACGTACACTTTGCACCGTGCCTCGTCTGTGAACCTGAGAACTGATGGCTCCTTTTGCACTCAGTAGTTCTTGTAACGCTATTGTCTAATTTTTTTTTTTATCATCTGACAAATCTGCACAGATAATAATTTCTGTTGATGCTCCGGTCAGATTTGGCATTCCTAAAAATCACTGAATTGTATTTCGGGAGACAGAGTAACGGAATGTTAATGACATGAAGGATGTGCTGAGAATCTGTGTAATACATGAGGTGGAATGTTGTGTACAGATGCTGTTACAGAGCTTTTTGTTCAGAAAAATTTTGCTGTATTTTTGTAAGATGTGTGACACTGTCATGACGGTATACCAGCAGCCTTCAGGTGCAAGTTTTGCATCTGCTCTTTTAGTCTGTGTGCTTTTTGTCCAAAGTACTGTAAGCTGTTCACACTGACTGACGAGTTGAGGCCTTTATACAGAAATGCATGCACAGAACACAATCACAGTGTCACTAGAAGAGAGAAATGGACAACTATAACAAAATCACAAGCAGCGTTCATTTCCTACACATATATCTGAAGAGCAGTATTGCTGATTCGTGGCCTTCTGTTTTGTTGGCTTGATAGTGACGTCTTGCATGTGCTTTCTCTGACAACGTTCCCACAGCTTCCGGTGAAGTGCACTTCTCTACAGCCTTACTGTGTCGTGAGTTTTCACCATCAGTCTTAACATCAATTTGCTTGTAAATTAATGTTAAAGTGTTTGCTGTATCAGAATGGATGAAGTGATTAAACTGTTGTTGAATTTGCTTCAGCGTAGACTTTTGATTGTGTGCAGCATCATAGTTTGCTCAATAATATTTCATCAAAGCCATCACAACATCCTGCTCTTTAGAGACGTGCTCAGTTTCCTTATTCTTTTCCTTTCCACCTAGATGTGAAGTCAGCGTTACTAAGTTGTTAGATTTTGTATTTATTACTCATTTTATTGCATATTTTGTTCCATTCTGTGGTCGCTTGTTAATCTACAAGGAGAGCCTGGTAGGTGAGCTTTTTGAACTCACTAATACAGATAGTTGACAAAACAAATGCTTTCCTTTATGTTTGGAACAGAAAAGTTCAAGCTGAACATTCCATGTGGACTGTAAATAAAAGACACTTACAAATACAATAATTACATTTACGGTGCTTAACAAACTTATTAAACCACCTGTCTGCAGTGAATTCACCTTTTTCTACCCAAGCTTGAGCCGGTTCACTGGGCTTCTCTGAGAAGTCAGAGATGAACCAAGCATAACATTCAACCACTAAAACTAATCTTTCTGTTCAGGAATGCAAGTAAATATCTATGATTTGACATCTTATTCAACAAACAATAATGTGCTTTACTTTTTTTCTTTTTTTTTTTTCTTCTTTTGGTAAAACAGTGAATTTGAAAATTCATGGATAACAATTACAACATCATTAAAAATGTCATTTCGGTTAAAGAGCTTCTACATGCTGGTGTATTAACCATTACAGGAACACAGGAAATGATTTTGGTTATTACCACTGCTGTTAATTTAGGCCAGCTGTGGCATAGACCTTACACTGGGGGGTGGTTTAATGAATTTGTTAAGCACTGTATGTTGCAAATAAATACTACTGCAGAATACAGTGAAAGCTGGAGTTAGCTGATGAATCAACCGCTTGGAAAGTTGACATCGCACAGTTCCCTGTCACTCACCTGGGTGCCGAAATAGCTCTTTCTAAACTGGCTTTATTCTATTTTAATCTGCTTTTTTTTCCTGTTGTTTTTTACAGCCCCTGAAACAGACAAATACTTCTGCCTGCCTCAATGGTGTGTGTGTGTTTGTTTAATGATGGTTCAGTCCACATAGTAAATAAGGATTAATACGTGCAGACATTTGTAAATGAAGAATACTGCTCTAAAATATGAATGACCTGATCTGAAGTTAACCTGATCAAGCTCTTATTCAGTTTCCTTTTTCTTGGTGTATTTATTTGACCAGCAGAAGGAGCCAGAGTCCATTAAAAAAGAATCAAGTCCTGGACAGATCCAGTGACGCTGCAGGTGTCCAGTCCAGCCTTTTCTGCTTCCACCCAGAACCTCCCCCCTCTCACCCTCTCACATTAATTATCAACAATTTAAAATAAATTAATAGATTAGAAAAAAGAGTGTCCAAAATGACTCAAAAATTGTCCAGAATGATATAAACTTGATTTATTGTTGGGTTCTGTTGAAATTTTTCAATTAGATGAGTTTTCATAATAAATACTATAGTAGGGTTTTAATCTAAATATTAAAAAATATTCATGCAAACTTGCTTAATACAAAAATATTTTAGGGTCTTTATCTCAATAATGAAATTATTCAGGTTGGTTTATATAATAGACAATGTTGTAATGTTGTACGGTCTGAAACTTTAACCCTAATATGTAATTTTCAGGTAAATTTGAAGAATAAATAATCATTTCTCTTCTTATCTTCATGTTTTAATTAGTTGGTTACATTTATATGAAATTATTTTAAGGTGTGGAACTTTTGCTATGTGGTTAAATGGTAACCATGAAACAACATTATTATTCAAAATAGTCGGGTAGGTTTTTATAGTACCACATTGTCAAAACAGCAACCAATCGACTACGATTTCATTTTGAGGAAGTAGAGCTTACAGGCAGCCAACTCTAGCAAGCAGGGCGGGTGTGGCGCAACAGTTGTTGTGATCTGACAGCCTGTTCATAATAATCACCGTGCTGAGGCCGAGCACGCGGTACGCTGGAGCACATACAAATACATCACTGTGGCCAGGCCTCCAGGTGTTACAGCAGAACGCTGCGGTCCAGGCCTGGTGGACTGATTCACGATGCACAATTACATCAGCGCTGAAGAAAACAACAAACATGCTCCTGCTGCTCCTGATCTGATGAGCCTTGTCTGGTTTCAGATCTGGCAGCTCTGCAACTGTGAAAACTGCTTATTCTTTTGATGCTAGCTGCAGACAAACAAGTGATGATCCTCCATGTGAAGGATGGACCGTCTTGGCTGCTGAGCTCCATGAAGAAATCATAACTTTGCACCTACCAGTGGTCACAAATACAGGTCCTGCTGTTGATAGCCTGGCCTCCTGGAACGAGATATCACATGTTAATGGTGAGCTCTTGCAGATTCTGTGTCATCACAATAATGTTAACTTCTAAATAGCTCAAGTCAACAGCCAAAGTTGTAATTATAACTGGAAGACTTAGATTATGACCAAAGCCACAACATCTCTGAGTTGGTGCCTGAAATGTTGAAAAAAACCCAAACATGGACGCTTCACATCATCCAGCCAGTCCCCCATTCAAGTTAATTAGAGCCAGATTGAAGGGATATAGTGTCAATACATGCAGCCTGGAGTCATCTAGTATCAAACATGTGGATCGTTGCCAGCTTTAACATCCATCCCATATGACACGATCACAGTGTTAGATTCCCTCCGTCTGATAAACAGCCTCAGACTCTCCAACGCCCCGAGAATCTCCAAGCCAAAGCTAAGATTCACTTTTTCCAGACATGATATAACTCCCCCTGACTTTTCACAGGCTGAGAAGCACTTCTCCTGACTAGTACATCTGAAGTCTTCTGTAATAAGATAATCAGAACGTTTTAGTAGAAGCACTTCAGGCGAAGGTGTTCCCAAAAGAATGGCAACAATGCACAAATAAATTCTGCGTCTCATGTAAATAACCAGTGAGAACCTTCAAATATTTATTCAGCAAGTAGAATTAAAGAAGAAACATGTGCACACTAATGCACAGCATAAAAAGAACAGAGCAACCGCAGTTCAAAGACATAACCTGCATACCTCTGAGTTTGTATCATAGTAATTTGAAAGGAATGTCAAATACAAAGTCATGCAAACAGAACAGACAGCTGAATGAGCTGAATGCAGATGGGACGGTCGGATTTAAACTACTTTACTCTCTCTGAACAGTGTTGGAGAGTCGTGAATATGGAATCAAACTAGTGTTTTAGCTACAGTTTGCAGTAACTTGCTGGTTGTTCAGCTCCATTCATGATTGGAGAGTAAATAAAGTCATTCAGTTACTTGTTTTTGGCATTTTTTGTTTAGCTAACTGCTGAAACTACGAAATAATTGTATCTTTTATTTTGCAATTGAAACCTCTTTGACCTTTTTCTTTCATCAAGCAGTTTTCCAGTGCAGGGACTCGGGGCAGGCGTAAGGTGGTGTGAACATTCACAGGAACAGCTGCCTAATCCTTTAAATAACCCTCCCAGTTATATAAGTTGTATATCCCTAGAAGTACAGACCGGAGGAGAAGGAGTGGCAGCAATCTGTCACTCAAACTTCTTAATCAACCCGAGTTGTTGCTTCAAGTTCAACATTAACGGCGTGCGTGTTGGCCGGGGTGGAAAC